GAGTCATAGCAAATACCCTTCCTGGAGTAGTAGACATGTTTGTTGCTCTTCTCCCACGCCCACGATTACTGGAAGAAACATTACCACCAGTCCTCACACTACCAACTGAAGAAGACATAGATGCAGACCCTCATTGGCACTACGAAGCTATATGTCCGGGTTCACCATATCTAAAACACACAATGTCTTGATCTGTTTATGGGCAATCTTTAATAAAATGACTTGTTGCCCCACATCGTTAACAAATGGCTTGTCCACTCTGCTCACTTGAAGATCCTCGATTAGATTGGCTACTGAATATTTGTTCAGATGGAATCTGTCTCTACCCTAAAAATTTTCTCCCAGGTCGGTTTACATTATGACTTCTAAAATGTGGCATCCTCTAACTATTCCTAGAAAAATTACCAAAATATTTACTAGTTTGTCCTACCTTATACTTACCTTTCTTATGACTTTTCGATTGACTTTGTTTCTCCTTCCCATTATTTTCAAATTTCTCCTTCACTTCGTTTTCCACCCGTCTTGCCATATTCACCAGCTTAACAAAAGTATTCGCATGATAAGCTACAAGTGGAAACTGTATATAATACTCTAGTCCCTTCTGAAATCTTCTACATTTGGATTCTTTTGTTTTTATCATATCCAATGCAAAACGAGACAATGCTAAGAATTTGGATTCATACTCAGCTACAGACATCTTTCCTTGTGATACCTCCATGAATTCTTGCTCTTTCTCATACCGGTATGACTGTGAAAAATATTGTTCATCAAACGCTTTCTCAAATATAGCCCAAGTAAACTTTATTGGAGTTGTATCTTGAGCTCCTTGTGTTGGGGTGGTCATTAATCTCTTTGTATCCTCCCACCAATTTAAAGTATCCTCTATGACCATAAAGGTAGCAAAATTGACTTTTTGTTTATCAGTTGGGCGCATAATATCAAAGATACGCATCATAGCTTTTTTTCAGTTTTCTGCCTCAACTGGGTTTATTGACCTCGCAAAACTTGGTGGCCCAAGTTTCTTAAAATGCTCGAATAAGGAAATACGAGACTGTGTCATTTCAGCCTGTGCTAATTTCCACTCGAGATTTCTAGTCTCTCTCACCCTTGCATCAGATTTTTCCTCTACACCATGAGATCCACTATAGACCTCTTGATTTGATCGAACTGACCCCTTAACTGAATCAAAGCTTGACGAGGATTCGCAACTCGAGATGTTATAGGGAGCTAAATCAATAGGAGCTGGAGCAGCAACAATTGCTTTAGCAGGAGCCGCCGTCGGCATTGGAAATGTATTCAGTTCTTTGATCCATTCCGTAGCGTGAAATCCATTATTGGCTAAATAATCATTCAGATTCGTAATTTTGGGATTTGCTCTAACCGAAGCCCTAGGAAATTAAGATTGTNTGCCACTCATAATAAAGCTTGACGAGGATTCGCAACTCGAGATGTTATAGGGAGCTAAATCAATAGGAGCTGGAGCAGCAACAATTGCTTTAGCAGGAGCCGCCGTCGGCATTGGAAATGTATTCAGTTCTTTGATCCATTCCGTAGCGTGAAATCCATTATTGGCTAAATAATCATTCAGATTCGCAATTTTGGGATTTGCTCTAACCGAAGCCCCAGGAAATTAAGATTGTTTGCCCCATAGATGGACACCTTCCTTGTACTGAAAGGTGAGAGAAGGTTGATCTTGATCTAGGTCTAGCCTAACAACCCTACCCCCGCCTATTTATTTATTTGTTGCCGGCAATCGGCCTAGTTGTAGTTTTCATTTGGAAAGGAGTAGGCGGGTGGGGTAGGAAGAAGGTGAAGTAGTAGTAATGAGCCGGCAAGGGTCTAGGGAGAAGAGGAGTCCGGTTCATAGAGAACGGGTTCATTCTAAGACTAATGCCCCCTTCTCCGACCACGAAGAAGATTTTCGAAAGGAAAGGAAAGGAAGGTTGTCAAGGTTGTTCTTCCATTAGTAGTGGGAGAATGATTACCGATTGAAGCTGAATCAATTCTTCCAGTCACAACAACGGACCGAAGTCCTATCTCACCCGACATTTCTTTCTATGATCGCATGTCGAAATCTTGCCAGCGGGCTGACTATTTGTCTACTTTTTCATTATGCTTTCCTCTAGAGGGATGGATTCTTCACCTTACCTAAATGCAGGTAAAGGGAAAATGTCCAAAAGTTTGGTCTCATACTAAGCCCCTACCCCACCAATTGGATTTATATCCGGCTACTGAGCGTGCATTTGTCGAATTCGGCTTACTAGTTTTGGCTTCCAATCCAGTCCCAGATTGCTCCGAGACTATACCTTGTGACAAGCAAATTTCATGGATCATCCTCTTTTTGTATGAACCTTGATGGATGAAGGTATATAGAGGGAAGGTCTTCTATCATCCAGAATGAAAAACTGGATAATCAAATGCAATACCAGTGATTCCAGTTACTTTATTCTTCCTCCGATCTTCCTAATAATAGTTGTTGTAGTTGAATGTAAAAATTTCAATTCCATTCAAAATTTGATTTAGACTCAACCGCANCAAATGCAATACCAGTGATTCCAGTTACTTTATTCTTCCTCCGATCTTCCTAATAATTGTTGTTGTAGTTGAATGTAAAAATTTCAATTCCATTCAAAATTTGATTTAGACTCAACCGCGCTAATCCGTTGTGAAGGTTGGAATTTAAGGTCACATCAGGGAAGTTTACTGCAGTCTATTCCTAGATGGACAACATCATATATGTGGCAGAAGTTCAACAACCGAACTGAGGTCGCGTCGCATCAAGTAGCTTTCGCGCAAGACCTTCGTCCCTTGCCTTTATTGCCCACCGATCACCTCATTCTATCAATTGCGAAAGGTCATCTTTTAGCAGGGGCTGTCGCACGGTCCTTCATCTTTCTTCTTTCGGCCTTGATTCTTGATGTCGGTATTCTTTGTAGATAGGTGGTCTTCTTAGTGTAGAGTAATTTGGAAGTCAAAGGTTACCGAGAGGTAGGGGCGGGCGAGGAGCCTTAAAATAAGCGGCTACCCGAACTCTCTTTTCCCAAGATTAGAAGGAACTCGACTGAGGCCTCGGGCTATATGTATGTGCATTCGTTCAGTTATTGAATGCCGACCCGAACTCCTTATGTGGGCAAAGAGCCTACCACTTATGCAAAGGAAATTACATATGGATCCATCCTGATATGTAGATCATACTGGCGGAAGGGGAGCACCCTTGTCTTACTGAAATCGGATTTGCCCTAATACTTAAGTCAAGTCTGCTTCTATCTTTCTTCTCTCTTTTCGAGCTTATTAGGAGCAGAATAGCTTCTTTACGGGTATGACATTTTACTTTAGATGAGCCAAAACGCATTGAGACAGCTTAACTAGAGGTGCCGGTGACCTGTATTGTCGGGTCCGACGAAGGGTAAGGCCTTCGATCAGTCTTAGCTGATAGAATAGATCGAGAACGGCTTACAACATTTCATTTGAAGCGTGGCCCTGCTTAGATAAATAATTGGTTTCCGACTTGATGTTTATTTATGATCTTTGGTTGAATTGAATGTTGGCCGACCTTCGTACTTGACCGAAAGAAAAGGGACGCCTCACTTTTACTCCGCCTCAGCTTCCCCTGTATCCCTTACTAGCATCCAACACAGTCGAATCACTCTATCTTCGGTCGCGCCAAGTCTTACCAGAATCTGATTGGCCGAATACAGATGTGACAGCCGAAAAGCGAACTGATTGCTTTCTTAGCAGCTACTTGGCTAAACATTTCTAGAAGGGATCCCGCTCTCCGCGAGACTGCATTCGATTGGTATGCCAGGTTGCCTGCTGGAACCATAAACTCGTGGGCGGACTCACTCAAAAAGAGCGAAAGAAAGAGCAGAGAATGAGCGGACTATTCTCGTACTTATTTATTTCATT